GTTCAAAAGTGCATTCCTGGTCTAATTATAATAAATGATTTTGACTTTGACTTTGACATAACAACTTTAATTTCTTTTTTCTGCACTCCTTCGTTTGGGTAAGACGAGAAGAAGTGTCGGAGTATTAATGATTAAAAACAACCACATTTCTACTTTTGTTTTGAGCAGGAACCTCGGTAACCCATTAACTGCCAATTTTAATAAACTGTCTTTATCCAAAATCTGTCGATATAGATCGATTATTGACAGTAGTTGTACAGAGTTTCTGTCAAAAATCGATTTTAATCCACATATTTTGGATTACGATATGTTACAGAAATTGGCAGTAAGTCGCTCGCGGCATTACCTTTACAATTCAATCTACAAGAAAGCAAAGTTTTAGGTGCCACAAAATCAGATAGGTAGGTCACACGACGGCGACAAATGTGGCTGTAACTCACTACAGCCTCCAGAGATTTCTTATACACTGGTTATTACCGACATTACCTTCCTTCCACCGCGCCCTGGATGGCCCAGCTTCCCTTTACATTTTTATCTACGATATTAAAGCGATTATTTAGCGTGTGTTGTGGGTCTTGTGGTTCAAATGCTTTTTATTAAACTTTGAGGATATTGTTACCTTAATATTTTGTTGACAGTTTTGGTATTGTGTGTTTTACTTTTTTTGGTTATCGGATAAGTGGTTTATGATGGTATTCAATTATGGAGCCTTGTTATATTACGTGTGCAGTTAAAAATATGAATGTTTAGAATCTTGTCAAATATACTATTTAATTTGTTTTGTCTTAATTAAAGGAAAGCTTTAACACTTTACGTTGTACGTTTTCCCCATTTTCGATAATATACAGAGATATTCATAAGGATTTAAAATTTTATTGTATTCACATAATATATTTATTGCTTCCATAAAGTCGAATGTAGTAATGAAGTAATAATTGCTACTTTAATCATTACTAAATTAAAAATATTTTTTCCCCATTCTACCAATAACCGAAAAGACATTTAGGTACTTTAAACTTTTATAAATCAATTCAGGGGCAGCTGATCTATCTATCTATACAGATAATAAAATCGTAGGAAAGTGAAAACTGTACATCGAATATTTTTTAAAAAGAATGCTTTGGGAATTTGGGCGTGATCTTCAATCGATACCGAAACCAAAAATATGGTTTTTAGAATTTTTGTCTGTTTGTCTGTATGTATGTCCGGGATGAACTCAAAAAGTGCTGCATGGATTTACTTCAAATTTTGCATGAATATTACTAACAGATCGGGTTAAAATATATACTACACATTGTCTTGCTATCAGCTACGGGGGAGGAGGGGAATCACTATTCCACGCGGACGAAGTCGCGGGCTCAGCTAGTTATTAAGTACAGATATGAAAATATAAAATTACAACTTCTTAAACCGCACGTTTACCATATCGATTGTAAGAATCGATATTTCCAATTGAAAAGCCCGATGTAAGGAATAGCCCGGTCGTTATCTAAGGGCATCTATCTTGTTCGAAACGTTGGGAAGCGATTTTTCCCTATGCCTCCGACATGGAACAAATTATCATTCAATTTATATCAGTCGGTCTTTTATCGGTCCCATTCCAGACGTTAATAAGAAAATTTTCTGGTGAATGTTTGATGCGGCGTTTTCCGCATTTTATTTTTAGAAATAAAACATATTACGTGTAGTCGATTAGGTCCTTTGACGTAGATTTTATTTTTATTTTTTTATAAATTCAGTGGCGGATAAGAAAAAGGGATTGATTTGTAAAAGTTTTCTGATTGCTCTTTTATTTCTGGATTTAATCATTTCTATTTGGAATGATTTCAATTTTATAAAATCTTAAATAATTTGTTCTAGTTTCTAAGAGATCCATTATTCCTAATTGATACGAGTATAGATAAATACTAAGTAAATATATAGTACTGCTATAAGTCATACATTAAAAAAAACAATAATTGTAATCTTTCTGTCACCATGATCTAAACTCTGAAATTGTTATGAAAAATTAGTTTTAAAACCACACAATAACTTTGTCAATTTACATTAGAAGCCGCCCCCAAAAATGACGGGGAACATGATTAAGTAACCATAATTCGTCACCAGCTGCGTCCAAGTGCTGTTATCGAATAAATTCTCATTTTCTACGAGCAAGATATTGAAAAATTCAGGCATCTGGTAGCGCGACCCTTAATTTTATATTATCTGTTTAAGGCTGAGTTTTGTTGCTGCGACAGTTTTTATTATTAATCAGCTGCGACTTTAAATCTCGAAATAGTATCCAGAACCTAAAAAACAGCCTTGTTGGCCGAGTGGTCGCAAGTGTAACTGCCGGGCAAGGGGTCTCGGGTTCGACTCCCGGGTCGGGCAAAGTATTACTGGATTTTTAAATTCGGTCTGGAAATGTGCACGGTATATGGCAATAGGCTCACCCCTTATTACGTGGGACTCATAACATAAAAAGTGGGTGTTACATTGTACAGTGGCATTAAGTGCCGTAATGTGCACCTCTGCCTACCCCTTCGGGGATGAAACTGAAGAGGCGTTATACCAAAAAAAAATAAAACAAGATAGGTACTAAGTACAAATTCAAAAAGATATTAAATTGACAACTAATACACTTTTAAGGTCAAAACAACTCATAATAAAAGTCGCACCTCAGTAAAACTTACATCTCAATACACAGTCTTTTAAACTACAGACTGCTGCAAACCAACAACAAATTAATAAACCCTTATTAGTCCACTTACTAAAGAACAGAATACCTGGAGCGAAACGTATTTCTTGAACATTATTAGTTGCAACAATGCAGGGAAGGAACCACACCTTAAAGTTGCCGTGATAAACTTTATTATTTTCATTAAGGGCAGGTGATTCAATTAAATTAGAGCTCAAAACGATGCGCCACGCGTGCCTTATCATTAAAATTGTTAACTAAGGCAAGTTTATACCTAGCTTTATACACTTTCAATGTTGGGTCGCCTTCTTGACATAATTTGTGTAAATTATGGTAATTACACATTTTATGTCAATGTATTACTTAGTTGCATTTGAAGTGAGTTTGGAGTAAGATGGCTTTGTTTTACGACAGTTATTCTTTCAGGGAATTAGCAGAGCAGGTGGTTGGAGCTTGTGCACCGAGTTATAAGAAATCTTTGAGCTAAATTACGAATGATTTGGTGAAATTACGGGTCTAAGAACACAAGCTCTGATCAACACGGTACATATAAAGCTCTTAGTAGCCGTTGCCATTGTGCATTCGGACACCGTAGACATATTCATAGACTAATATAGCCTGGGTATATTTATTTATTTTTTATTTCATCATCATCATCAACAGCCTATAAATGCCCACTGCTGAGCAAAGCCTCTTCTCACAAGGGGAAGGTTAGAGCATTAATCACCACGCTTGCTCAATGCAGGTTGGCGATTTCAAACTTATAATTAGAAATTATAAGTTCAGGTTTCCTCACGATGTTTTTCCTTCACCGTTTGTCAGTGGTGTCTAAATAATCTTAGAAAGTACGTATAACTCGGAAAAAGTCACATTGGTACTTGCCGTTGGTAGGTTTCGAACCCGCATCCTCATGCATGAGAAGTGGGCGTCTTAAACCTCCGGGCCACCACGACCATTTTTTATTTAATTACACTTTATTGTACACCATAAAAACATACATAGAAAATAAACATAAAATAATGTGTACAATGGGCGGTCTTATCGCAGAATGCGATTTCTTCCAGACAACCTTTGGATGGAGCCAATAATCAGGAGTTGGAAAAAGGGGGTCGTCTAGTGTACAATGATTAAAACAATACATACAATATAATACTATATTGTCATAAAGGATCCAGGGTGTCAGGTTTTGCGCTATTAATAAAATCTCAGCCTAAAAATTGAGCACGTGATCTCTTAATACTTCCATTTTCAATCAACGACGTTATTAAAAACACACTACAAATACACTAACATAAGTTCGCCTAGTTATATAACATCACAAGTTGAGAGAAAACTTTATATGTACTTATAAGAAAAACGTAGTACACTCAAACCGAGGGGCAGGATTCTCACAAGTAGGTAATACTTTTCGTACTTTTTGTCCGAGATTTATGTTAAAAAGTTCGTCCATTTCTCATTTTTCCCCTTCTCACCCGTCTTTCACTGTGTGAACGATTATCATTCTCTTTTTTTTTCTTTGCCAAAAAAAGAAAGTTTCTTTTGTCAGTTACACCCGCGTGGGTCTTTTCAAAATAGGAACAATGTACATTTAAATTGGTGTTCTCATTTCAAATGTTTGATTTTTTTTTCGTTTATATTTGAATTTAGTGTCTTTGTAGTCGAAAAGGTATTGTGTGGTCCTTCCCTAAGAATTGATCTCGTCCTCCCCTTACTTTAGTGGGGGCCTCTAAGTGGCTGGGTACATTCCTCAGGGACTCCGTAATTTATTGTAAGTACCTATTTATAAGTACAGGTAGACTTACGGCTATTTTTATTACGGGCGTAATTATGATTAAGTTTTTCTAAGCACAGCTTTTTGGAGTCGCCATTCATTTATATTGTGGCTCCCTTCTCTGTTTATTTTGAAAAAGTAGCACTTTGAATATCTGAATGGATGAACAAGTACGTATCTATTTGTAGAGATTTGTAAGACTCCTATACGTTATTATTCTTGTTTAAGAAGATTGATTTATACATATCAAACGCAATTCCAATTTTTGAGAACATGACGTCATGATCCAACACTTTAAGCAGTTTGCCACGTGTTGGGGCATCGAACCCAGTTTCATATTCTTACTAATGGCTTACTAGACAAGAAAACAATGTGACTAAAATATAAGCAAATAAAAACTAAAGACAATATTTAAAAAGGTTTCGTTTATTATAATAACATCACTCCAGTGTTAGTCACATCTGCCATCACACGCTACTCATACAAATATTTGTTCAAGTGTTTATAAATTTAAATAAATAATTCGACTAGGTTACATTTCGTTGTACGTATTCAAAGACTTGTAGTTACTTCATTATTTCTTAAATCAGGCACGTTCAATGTGAAATGTCTATTGCAACTGCATTCCATAGGTCCTCCTAATCTAGTTTTCGCTAGGCAGATATTGGGTGATCGGTAATTCTCATCCAGATTCTTTTTCTTCCCTCTTGGTATTGCGTGGATGCTATAGACCGATTTTGTACCTCCGTCGTAGAGATATTCATTGTTATAATCATCATTTGGGCTGTATATGTTGTTATAGTTTCTTGGATATATTTCATTTTTGAATAGTTCATCTTGATATTTGTGGTCTATGTCTTTGTTGTACATGACAGTTGAGTAGTGGTTCGGTTCTGAGTTTGTATCGTTGTCTGTGCTTACAGTTTCGTTGATGTATCGTTGAGACATCCACACGTACCTCGCCATGGGTTCTTCAGGACCCCACAGTCTGGATGGACGGAATGCCGAAATTAATTTCTGTAATAAACGGTAATGAAAATTAGTAACCGGGAATAAGGTTTGGATTGCAATGGTGCACATAAGTGATGGATAAGTAACTTGACCTTAATTTTTATCAATTTAAACTTTAATTGGTTTGTATTTAAAGCCAAAGAGTATTCCATTAGGGTTACGTTTCAATTGGGGAAAGAAAATACTTTGATAAAAATACTTCGATTAAAATACAATCTTTGAAATTATTTGTTCAGATAAGAACATTTCATTTTCCTCGTTTTACGTCTGTAACTCTGAGCAGAGATAGGCTAGTTTCGACTGCTAAATTAGTTTCCGTATTAGTAATGTATAGTTAGTGGAAAAACCTGGATATCATTTCAAATATACAAAGGTACCTCGTTATACTAAGAATTAGAAGAGAAGAAACCAAAATCTTCCATTTAAAAGGACTGCCTCGTTGGCCGAGTGGTCGCCAGTGCGACTGCCGGGCAAGGGGTCTCGGGTTCGATTCCCGGGTCGGGCAAAGTATTACTGGGTTTTAAAAAATCTTAGTAGTAGCACGGAGTCTGGAATTGTGCCCGGTATATGGCAATAGGCTCACCCCTATTACATGGGACTCATGACATAAATAGTGAAAAGTGGGTGTTCGGGGATAAAAGGCGTGATGTTATGTTATGTTCTACCAAAATAGTGAAGAACTACTAACCGAAAGTAAATTAAACTGTTCTTCTTTAGCTACAGCTCTAGCAGCCAATATCACCATGATAATTAATATCAACAAAAATACTGCTAACAAAGGCCAGAGAGTGCTGCCATTGCCCCAGGAGATCCGAAGCAAGGCCCGGAGCCACCAGCCCGAGACTCCGATGAGGAGAACTGGAGTCAACCACCATGTGGCTATCCAGAAGCAAGGTAGCTTACTACCTGTGAGGAATTCTATGTCGACTGTGAGATAACACCAGCCTGTAATGTAGAAAAGAAAATTATCAGAGTAATTATTTTTGCTATCAATGTGTGATCCACAAATTGTTGTTGCGGGTCTGAGTGTGATGTGCATGAGAAATTGATAATGATACACGATAATGAAAAAAATACTGGTATGGCCCAATGGGGATGATGACAGGGTATGAAAATTAAAAATATAATTAGTCCGTAAGTTAGGTAATGAAAAAATATTAGACACGTATTTTTTATTTTGTCGTATAATAAAACAATACTTAGATAAAACGAATCAAAGTTTAGGAGTGGGGGCTAAAACGTCATTCCTTAGTATAAAATATACTGAGAAGTGACGTCACGCGACATTTCAAATCAATATTTCTTCGAAACTATTCGTTTCTGTGAGAAAATAAAAAATACGTGTCTAATGTTTTTAAATATCAGACGGACATTAAAATAAAAATTAGTCGTCTACCCCATTATAAGAAATACCAGCATACATTTAAGTATAGTATAATAATGATATAATAATAGCCTTTATTTCCGATATTCCAGTTATTACAGTTAAGAATATCATTACACAGTCTTACATATTTAATTAAATGTTTACGTTATTAAATGATATCCCTAAGCTCGGTGTGCCTCTTGGCATAGGCCTCCACCAACTCCTTCTATTGCACCCTGTCTTGTGGAACTAAGAAGTACTCACCATAAATAAATACAAAGCCGACCACTTCAACAGCAGACGTAAATACAGCCAGAACTGGTATTATCAGCTCATCTAACACGGTGGCTATTTCCAAGCCTCGTGCTAGAACTGCTACTGTGAGAGCAGTACCAACAGCTGATGTAGCACATGCAAAGACCCTCCAGTGATCTCCAGTCACACGGTGGAGTTTGTCGTATACTGGATATAGGAGTATTAACTGAAAAAAATATAAAATACGTTAAAAAGATTAACTAACAAGCAGCCAAGCAAAAAATTAAAGATAGTTTTCAAAATTAACAAAAAAAAAACTATCCATACTTGGATTAAACGATACACGTGTCAAAGTTCTTTTTTAATTAGACATTAATTGTTATTATTATTTGTTATCTATAAATAAAAATGAATTTCCGTTCGTTAGTCTCGCAAAAACTCGAGAACGGCTGGACCGATCTGGTTAATTTTTGTCTTGAAATGTTCATGGAAGTCCAGGGAAGGTTTAAAAGGTGAGAAAATTTTTTTAAGCGGTACGAAGTTTGCCGGGTCACCTTGTTGTTAATACAATTTTATATTTCTACACCGGTAACGTTAGTATGTGTGGAACTTTGTCAATTTAAGACCTATGTGCACTATGTATTGAGATATAAATGACATTCATTCATTCATTTATTCAACATTGTTTTTTTATATTTTTTAACTCGCTTCTGTCAACGGCTTCATCCATGTTCCCGTGGGATAAAGATAGCCCATACGTTATTCTAGACAATAAACTTTCTAAATTTCACTCTGATTTGACCCTTCAGCCGTTTTGATATGATTGAGTAACAAACATTCACGCAAATTCACAAACTTTCTCATTTATAATATTTGGAAGATAGGTAAGATGGTAAGTCATTATTAAACATCATCATATTATCTCAATTTAATACCGATGATCCAGAAACCCTACTAAGTATATACCATAGAATAAATTATTGTATCATCATCATCATCAACAGCCCATAAATGCTGTGCAAAGCCTCTTCTCACACGGAGATGGTTTGAGCATTAATCACCACGCTCGCTCAATGCGAGTTGGCGATTTCAAACTTATAATGAGAAATTATAAGACCAGGTTTCCTTACGATGTTTTTCTTCACCGCTCGTCAGTGGTGTCTAAATAATCATAGAAAGTACATATCGAGGGGTAACGGGCTATTTGGTTTAAGCGACATTTTGGGCGATATTGAGTTATATATATATTCGGAATCAGCGAATTTTTCTCCGTCGAATGATGCCGGTTTCATTAAAATCGGAGCACTTTTTTGGCGTTTCAAACAATTCTATTTTCATGTTGTTTTCAAAGTGGCAGTGTATTAAACGACATGGATTTCGCATTTTTTATTAAATTATGTACTTGAACCATACCATCATATTAATAACCGAGACATAAACCAGTCACCCTATCTCTAATTATTAAGTCAACATGAGTTAAAGCGTTTTTCTTGTTTCTAATTTTTATTAACAAGTAACTTGAATCATTTTGACTTCCCACTAATCACACGGTGTGATGTCGCTTAAAACATTTGTCCGTCATCCAAATGCGTTATGGTACGTCTCTTAAACATTTCTAGCTGCCTCTATTTTCTACGCAGGGTGCTACTTAAACCAAATAGTTGTTTTCGTTTAGATATTTTGTTTAGTCATAAACCATTTAACCCTCATTTTTTTTTAAATGCATGTCGTTTTATACAGACGATAACATTGATAATGAATATTGAAACATTTTTCCAGTATTCATAGAAATACGAGTCGGTCTTTCAATCACTAAGTTTTAATATGGTACATTTAAATCATGTCATATGATACCATATTTATTTCATCGCCCTGGTGTTAAAAATCGTTATCATCCAACTGGACTATCGTGCGCTGGCGCTTCAGTCACTCCAGAGTGCGCCGAAGACAGACGGTACGCGCGCACACCGCCAGTGTTTACGTAAAACGCTCATCGAAATTGAATCCTAAGTACTTTAATTTCAAGATGAACTTTGGCAACAATGACAATTTAAGGGCTATTGTGGAGGTTGATGACATACAATCTACGGCTGACTTAGCAACAGCTTTCGACGTTAGCGTCAAAACAATATTGGTACATTTGCGTCAAATTGGCAAGGTAAAAAAGCTTGATAAGTGGGTGTCCCACAAACTAAATGATCAACAGAGCTAAGTATGCATCGAGCAGTGCGAGGGGGACTGGGATGCCGTCTCCTCCTTTTGCGAAGCAGTTATGCTAGCTAAGGAGGAGGCGGGACGCGTGAGGCAGCGAAGCGCTGGCTCCTCGCAACCCAGCCATCGCGAAGGACACACCGGGCGTCGGGGATCGCGGGACGATCTCCAGTTACCGTAAGCGCAGGCCTGCGGACGGTGAGCATGGGTGGCTCCCCGTCCGACCAGAACCAGACCCGAGCGTACGGGGCGTCGCGTTCCGCGCGCGCCTCAAAGAGCCATCAGACCACCACAGGGCCCAACAGGGTCGATGCCGATTCGAAGTCGCGGAGAACCTAACGGGTAACCGGGGCTCCGGCTCGACGTGCAGGAGAAGAAACGTGGTGATTTTTAGTCAGTAAGAGTCTGACACTCTTTCCCGCCTCACCCAGGCGGGAGCAGTCATTCGATGATTTTCCACCCTTAAAAAAAATGCATCGAGTAGTGCCTTGCACTGCACTGCTCAATATACACACAAATGAAAGAATTTTGATTTGCATTGTCACCTCCGATGAAAAATGAAATCTGTGTGATAACCACACGCGTTTAGCATGTTGGTTGAATCCTAGTTCAGCACCTAAACAATACCCTAAACGAAAACTTACCCCTAGAAAAGTGATGGTCACTGATGGTCTAGCGCTCGCGCTATTCTGATTCATCACAAATTCTTACCAAACGGAGTGAGCATTACTACGGATGTGTAGTGTGAAGAACTGAACACAATGATGGAGAAGCTGACACATCTCCAACCAGCATTGGGCAATCGCTAATCTCCATTGCTCCTGCATTACAACGCGCGACCTAAAGCTGCACAAGAGACGGCCTCCACGTTACAAGAACTGGGGTTGGAAGCTCTCCGACATCCACCCTACTCACCAGTCACCAGACTACTTCTTTTTCCAGAATTAGGATAACTTCTTGGCGGGAAAAAATTTAATAACCGAGAGGCAGTACAAATGCATTTGAAGAATTTGTTGCTACCCGTCCAGCTGATTGAAGAAGGGCAGCAATAAACTGCCACTGCGTTTATTATACAAATAAAAAATACATGAAAAAATCGTTTAATTTTTTTCATACAAAACGGCAATTTCAGTAAATGACCCATTAATTTAATTGATTTTGCTGAAATATAATCGATATTCCTATTGAAACTGTAATTATTACTCTAAATAAATACTTTGATATTGTGTTGTGTTTATTTATTCAATGTAAGCATCTAAGATTTTCGGTGATTGCGATATATCCAGGTTGTTTTATCAGCCATTAATCGCCTTAGATGTAAATAAACATAAACATTAAACGTTATAATTTCAATGTTATTTGTCACATAAGTAAATTAGCCTGTCACTCATTTTAGTCTGAATTGGTAGTTAAGATAAATAGCTTGCTTCTATTAATTTTGGGTGTCGTCACTTCATATTTTTTAGCTTACTCTGTAAATAGAGTGCATTGTCGCTTAATTTTTTTCCCTTGTAGCCAATTGTAGTTATGAAGTCACTTAAATCATTTTTCCTGACTCTAAAAAAGGGCAGATTGTATTAAGCGACATTTATCTTTGTAATTAAAGGTCCGCTTTATTTAGAATTAGCATCAGCAACTAGATAATTTAATTTAAATTTCAATGCAATTTACCCCGTTCAAATAACTGCAGAAGCGTTTTTGTTACGAATTTTTTTTCGAAATTTCAAACTTTAAAAGGCTCTCCTGTAAAGTTGCAAAAATGTCGCTTAAACCAAATAGCCCGTTACCCCTCGATATATAACTCGGAAAAAGTCACTTTCCGTTGATAGGTTTTGAACCCGCTCCCTTAATGCATGAGAAGCGGGCATCTTAAATCTCCGGCCACCCCGACATTTTTTATGGTAGGTATCTATTAATTAATAATTTTAATCAGTCTTCTACAGATACTTTTTCTTAACAGTAACCTAGGCAGACATTAGACATTAAAGGAACTTCACAAAAACTTACCTTTAAAATATAAAAAAGATGAAAAGTTCATTACAGTTTTAAGTAATTTTAACACTAAAATATTCTTGGAAATTGCTAGCAACTTATTATGTTAAAGTTACAGCCACAAATTAGGAACAGACTGTTAGATCCCAGATCAAGTTACTATTTTACCGCAGTGTTAAACTTAATATTTTGGGCTAAGGTTAATCTATTCTGCTGAAACTTTATATTGTACCTTATTTCTAGTTCTTCTTTGACTGAGAGATATAAATACTCCGATACTGTTACCAATCAATTATACGCAAATGTCTTTGAACTTATCTCTAACATTACAATTCTTAAGCTTTTGGCTTTCAGTAGAAAACTGTTCAAGACTATAGGGCATTTAATGTGTTAATAAATGAACACTTTGAAAATAAAATGAAATTATAATTAATTTAAGTGTGGGAGAGCCATGTTTCGACACGAATGGGCCGGCTCGGCCGGAGTGATACCACGGCCTCATAGAAAGCTGACATGAAGCGACGCTTGCGTTGTGTATCGTCGTGTGAGTGAGGTTACCGGAGGCCCAATTACCCACAATCTCTCTAATCCATAAGTTCTCAAACTCCGAATCCCCAAAAGGCCGGTAACGCACTTGGAATGCCTGTGGCGTTCCAAGTGTCCATAGGCGACACCGATTGCTTACCATCAGGTGATCCGTATGCTCGTTTACCGGCTTATCCCATTAAAAAAATAAAACAGCAAAAAAGCAATCAATATTATAAACCCATAAAGAGGTTAGCTAAAATCCTCTCAGCAAGCTTGAACAATGACTTACTATAGTCATCTACAAGCCAGTCTCAACGTGATTATTACCTACTGTTGTTCGCTATTAAACTTGACCTAATAGCATTGCATTTCTTACAAGGCCTAAAGGGTGATAAATAAAAGAATCCAAAAAACCACTGACCACACTAATAATACCAGAGCAGAACACAACTCCAAAAGCAAGTATCGGCCACTCCTTATTTCTTCTCTCGGAAACAGAAGATTGGTATATTAAGACTAGAACTGATATGAAACTTGTGTCCTTTCTGCTAGCCCCACCAATGGACTCCCAGAGAAGCACCCAGAGCCAACCAGCGAATATATTGGTCATTATTATTAGAGCTGATGTCCTGGAAACAGATTAAAAGTAAAATTAAATTTCTTTATTACAGCAATCGAAAACAGAAAAGACGTCCGTTGTCCACTCGTTAAAATAAAAATACATAGGGCCATTTTTTAAGGGGGTAAAGTCATCGAATTCGCTCCCACCTGGGTGAGGCCGGAGGGAGTGTCAGACTCTTACTGACTAAAAACCACCCCGTTCCTTCTCCTGCACGTCGAGCCGGAGCCCCGGTAACCCGTTAGGTTCTCCGCTACGTATAGAGTCAATAGGATGACATAAGCTACTTCTTTTAAAAATACATTCGAATTGAAAAATCTATGACATAAAAATTCTGAACAATCAATGATTTATTGAATTTATACGGACGAATCTTCAATAGATAAATTTTGTGGAAAAATCTGTTTCAGTGTATGTATAAATGAATTTCATAAAAGTTTAAAACAATGTAGAACAATTTCACTTACCACCGAACATCAGAATGTCTGTAGATAGCGCCACCAGCGCTGGTCAGATATCCACTAACAATTTGTGTAGACATTACAGCTTGCACTAGTGCACTGTGCCAAATGTAGGGTTCTGAGATCGAAGACCATTGCACGCACGACTCAAACATTGAGTCAAGTACTGCAGTCTTAGCCAGAAATGTAGAGAGTAATATGGCGATAAAAACTATGATAATAGTTATGCTTCCTAATGTCGTTTTTAATGTTTTGTGAAGGCGGTATAATCTGAAAAGTAATGAAAATAAATATTACAATCATGAGTATTTCAATAACTAATTTATAAAGTTCGGTCAATAACCGCAAATAAAAAATGAGTACAGTTCTGCCTATGTCTTTGAAAAATAACAGAGAAGAATGTTACTTTACTTTCAATCCATAAGTACCTATAATAAAACATAACATCACGCCTTTTATCCTCGAAGTGGTAGGCATAGGTGCACATTATGCCATTGTACAATGTAACACCCACTTTTCACTATTTATGTTATGAGTCCCATGTAATAGGGGGTGAGCCTATTGTCATATATAACACAAAACTCCGTGCTATTACTGAGAACTTTTAAAAACGCAATAATATTTTGTCCGACCCGGGAATAGAACCCGAGACCCCTTGCCTGGCAGTCACCCTTGCGACTACTTGGCCAATGTTATGTAATTTTAATAGTGACATTTGACAAAAGCCTAATTCCTATATTGAACAGAAATTGCAGTCGGCTCAACTAAACTGGTTGAAACTATCTACAGATGTACATCCATCATCTATTTCCCTGAAAGGTTTCAAATCCTCATTGTTCTCAGGTCTGCATTGTCATTTCCGTGAAATTCAGAGACCGTACGCACTATTCAGGTATTACTGTTACCTACATGCATGAGTATGTATGATATATAGCCGCCATATAGGTAATTCGTGGAGGGATGTAATAGGAATCTATATTCCTATACTGAAATAGTAACAGATATATTTCTAGGTACACATTAAATGTTGATATTTTTGTAATAGAATGTATTGTGTGAGTTCAGAGAATTTCAAATTAAAATGTATTGTACCTCTATAATGGTGAGTGAAATATGTTGTCCCTTTTTGTTCGTGTTAAATTATTATATTTTATTTGTCTAGATATATATATTTAATTATTGATAAGAATTTAAATTAAATAAATATATACAACTTAAAATATGAATAACAAAAACAAAAATATTTACACCTAAAAAAAATATAATAATAATAAACATGTTGTCATATGACATCAAAAAAATAATAATTAGGTACTATTTTTAATTAGTTTTGCCATAATCGATAAAGTTCTATTAAACCTTTTTGATATCAAACTTCACAAAAAGATTGGTGCAGTAATTTAGAGATAGACTTCAATACGCTTAAAACCTTCATAAGATAGGAAAGCGAAATAAAGTAATAATATGAATGTTAATACTCTTATTACTTACAGAATGGGCACGAAGAACCATAGAAGAAATATTAAAACCGCCATGATGCCGAGATACTGCGGATATTCTGTGAATGGCGCCAAAAATGTTGAACTGGAACATTTTATTAAATCGTTTTTAACTATTGTATTTTATTGCCGTAAAGTAGAAGTAGTGTTAAGAGGTCTTAAAACTATGGTAATGGTTTCTTTCACTTCTTTTTTATAGAATAGTGAGGAAACGAGCAGAATTAATTTTAATTTAATAAGTGATCAGTGCCACCGATGGACACCTTTTTTATGGCATAAGCGGTAAACGAGCAGACGGATCACCTAATGGAAAGCAATCGGCATCGCCCACGGACACCTGGAACACCAGAGGCGTTACAAGTGCGTTACCGGCCATTTGGGGATTAGGAGTTTGAGGATCGTTGGGGATTCAGGGATTGGGGAGATGGGGGAAGGGGAGGGTAATTGAGCTGCAATGTCAGAGAAATTACAGGTATGTTATCAGCCTAAAAGAAGTCTTGGGAGAATTATCAGAATTTAATTAGGGAAATGATAGCTGTAGTGGAAATAATACACGAGCAGAAACCTTCATTTTTAATAAGTGATCTGTGCCACCGATGGACACCTGCAATGTCAGAGAAGTTACAGGTGTTATTAGCCTAAAAGAAGTCTTGAGAGAATTATCAGAATCTATTTACGGAAATGATAGCTGTAGTGGAAATTGACTGCACGGTTGGTGCGGCGGCTGGGCTACCGGCTGCCGTGCAAAACGTGTCGCGGATTCGATTCCCGCACGGAACAACACTTTGTGTGATCCACAAATTGTTGTTTCGGGTCTGGGTGTCATTGTGTATGTGAACTTGTATGTTTGTAAACGCATCCACGACACAGGAGAAAATCGTAGTGTGGGGCAACGTTTTTATTAAAAATAAAAACTAATAACTGGGAGTCCTCAATATAAAAATAAAAGAAAAAATGCTAGCTATTACGGAAAATTACTATTGTTTTAAAATAAGTATTACCTACCTGAAACACTCGGTTGCGTTCATTTTATTTTCATATCCATTCTGGAAAAAAAAGAAATTAATTATATCTATAATTTTCCACTTTAACAATGCATTTGATTTTCACTATTCAATCATAAATGATTGGAATATCTTACTGTTTGATGGTTTCAAAAATGTATGTATAAAATCTGAAATTTTGTAGAACAAGAATCGAATAATAAGAAAAAAAAATAATAATAATATAAATAAAAAGTTTCTATTTTTCCGATTTGGACAAATAGGGAAAAAAACATATATTTCTTTCAAATTCCCAGAGACACTCTTGGGGAACATACCATAATAACTATGTTAAGTTATTATTAACATTACAATAAATACCAAAACAAAGCATACCAAAATTCGTTACAAAGGCAGGATTACTAACCAATCTCATTCTATTCATACAAAAATACTTTCACAACCACCATTTTACATTTTCCACGTTAAAATTTTATCCTACAGTTATTAAAATACCCCTCACTTTACAGTACAATGAAATACAAAGCGGCTTACCGGCGTTATGTGCAGTTTAGTGCAATCCTTTAAAGGGAAAGACCCCTTGCCTATCCACAGGAGGTAGGCAAACGACAGAGCTACATACATCATGTAGTAAACACAGCATACGTATGACGTCAGCACTTTTAAATGGCCGACACCTGAAAAAATATTACACGGATTTATGAGTATTAAAAGTTGATTTATTGTTTGAATATATTTTATGAATACTTCGTAGGCCTGTTTTAAGTTAAAGTTAAGCTATGCATTGGGGAAACTGGATATATATATATTTTTTGTAATAGTTTTAGTTTGAAGCGTCTATAAACATACACATTTTTAAAATGATTGCTATACTTTCTGTAAATGGATACAAAATGCATCCTACGTATTTATATCAGTACCTATTACATTAAATTGAGATATATTTCAAATATTTTGACTTATATTTTTTATGGGACATAATAATTATATTTTTTTAAACAGTCACAACGGCAGATAATCCAATTACATTAACTGACATATTTACAATAATAAAACATAAACAAAAGAAAAATAAAACTTAATTAAAACAAGAGTAAACATCATTCATAAGTTTCTCTCGCAGTACTTCAAGCAATTTGATAAAATCTCCTTCCATCCGTCCATGTATGTGATGTATGTTATGATGTCCGTCCATTCATGTATGTGATGATGATGTAGTACAACAGAAAACCTTTTCAAATATTATGATGAACAAAATCCAATATTTATACTAAACGACTGCCTCGTTGGCCGAGTGGTCGCAAGTGCGACTCGGGCAAGGGGTCTCGGGTTCGATTCCCGGATCGGGCAAAGTATTACTGGGTTTTAAAAATTCTCAGTAGTAGCACGGAGTCTGGAATTGTGCCCGGTATATGACAATAGGCTCACCCCCTATTACATGGGACTCATAACATAAATAGTGAAAAGTGGGTGTTACATTGTACAGTGGCATAATGTGCACCTCTGCCTACCCCTTCGGGGATAAAAGGCGTGATGTTATGATGTTATACTAAACCTGACGAATGTACTATGTATACGTAAAATACATTTATACTTTGGTACCTATGATGTGAACATTATAATCGGATTGCAGCTCTCTACAAGGGAGCTGAGTTTTATCTACCTGTAGGCTTAACATCAGGCTTATGTACCTAGTACATATTTACACTGCATACATTACATACTACGTCTGGATAAGGCTTGGCAAGTTTATAGAAGGTTAAAACATAATTGTATTTTGTATGGATGGATTTATTTTGTCTTCAAGAAACAATGCCACTGTACAATGTAACACGCACTTTTCACTATTTATGTTATCAGTCCCATGTTATAGGGGGAAATCCTATAGTCACATACCGCACACAATTCCGGACTCTGTGCTACTACTGACATGTTTAAAACTCAGTAATACTTTGCCCGCCCTGGGAATCAACCCCGAGACCCCTTGCCTGGCAGTCGCACTTGTGACCACCCGGTCAACAAGGCAGTAAACTTGAAAATCTAATAAAGGAATCGACAACATCACGCGTTTTATCCCCGCATGGGTAGGGCTTTTTAAAAAAATCTCAGTAATAGAACAAAGTGTGGAATTGTGCCCGGTATATGGCAATAGGCTCACCCCCTATTACATGGGACTCATAACATAAATAGTGAAAAGTGGGTATTACATTGTACAGTGGCATTAAGTGCTGTAATGTACACCTTTGTCTGGCCCCTCGTGGATAAAAGTCGTGATGTTATATTGTATGTTGCTGTTGTTATTTTCAACTTTAAAGTATTAGTATAAAGTCGCGTATTCAATAAAAAAGTATTGACAGATCTGAGTAAGCTATCATACTTGAAAAATAAAAATGTCGTTGGTAATAGATAATAGTTTTCCTAAAAATTACCTCTCAATATGGGCACTGCCCTCCACACTCCAACAGGATCTTGATGACTTAGCTGACCCATGGCAAGTTGTAGCAGCGTCGTCGGTAGTCCTGCAGCCAGCAGCCAGAAGGAGTAGGTCACCAGGTAAGGAACTGCTCCATATCTGAACGCTTCTTTCGGTAAACGAACTGAGTTGAACAGCGTCAGAGAAATTGCTATGGTGCATAGCTGTGTTTTTATGAACTCGCATGTTGCTTTTAGAGTCTGAAACAGAAAAGCTCTAATTAGACTAATGATTATTCAATAATAATATGTAGATATGTTGACTGCCAAGCAAGGGGTCTCAGGTTCGATTTCTAGATCGGGGAAAGTATTACTGGTTTTTTTTTAAATCTATAGAAGTGCAAATTCTGTCTGCCTGTCTGTATGTTCATGCATAACGCAAAAACTACCAGACTGATTACGATGAAACTTGTTATGATTATATTTTAATAACCTGAGCACAATACTTTATCCCGAAAAAGCAAACTTAATTGTGCGGCTCAATATCCTAGATACAGTTATTGCACCTAATGCAAATATAAGTTTGTTGAATGTTACCTTGCCTGCAATTGACTTTACGATGTAACTATAGGGCCGATGGTTGAAATTAGCTTGAACCGATGTTATAAATGTGAAAATATGTGTCTTTGTGTGTTCGTGTGTATGTTTGTTACTCAGTCATATCAAAACGGCTGAAGGGACCAGGATGTCAAATTTGAACAGAGGTGGTGTTACTCCAGACCACAATATCGTGGTTTGAAGGAACACATAGGCTACTTTTACCCCTTGGAACGCCCCAAACGTACGGGGCGTCGCGTTCCGCGTGCGCCTCAAAGAGCTATCAGACCACCAACAGGGCTGATGCCGATTCGGAGTCGCGGAGAACCTAACGGGGTAAACCGGGGCTCCAGCTCGACGTGCAGGAGAAGGAACGGGGTGGTTTTTAGTCAATAAGAGTCTGACACTCTCTCCCGCCTCACCCAGGCTGGAGCAAACATACGATGATTTTCCCCCCTTAAACTTAAACAAATGCTAGTAACTCAATTATAACCTGGCAGTCGTTGGGGTCAACCATAAGATAGTTTTTCATAATTTAAACATACCTAGCTACCAAATTCTTTATTAAACTGTCAAACACCGAGCGGTCACCGGTGACCGCAACCTATTGTTCTTTAATTGTGTCTATAATGACGGTACTCAACGAGTTAAAATGATAAATTATACACTTATATTACGAAACCTTACCGCACATTAGTACCAAGTTCTTAGCATTGTGATAATAATTTAACTTCCCTACTTAGTAGCGCATGCCGCTAATTAGAGCGGAACGAATCTCTTTGACATCTCTTACAGGCATATCTTTTTAATTAGTCATATGCCATTGTAATGTTAAGAGGCTTAGGTACGCAGTCTTCAATTATTTGCTTAAGACATATATTCCATAATATAACATCACCTAACATCACGCCTTTTATCGCCGGGCACAATTCCAGACGGAGATCAGCTACTACTGAGATTTTTTTTAAAAACCCAGTAATACTTTGCCCTACTCGGGAATACAACCCGACACTCCTTGCCCGGCAGTTGCACTTGCGACCACTCGGCCAACAAGGCAGTTAATTACATGTTAGTGTTTATCTCTAAACAATAAAGTACCTAATCTTTGTTAAAAATACTTACCTAGTGAATATAAGTTAAAACCTTCTACTTTTTGATAAAATCACTTCTATAATGCTCTATAATGATATTTATGTGATTGATGTTCACGAAATACCTAAGGACTAAAAGTATACCATATTTAAATGTGGGAGAGCCATGCTTCAGCACGAATGGGCCGGCTCGACCAGAGTGATACCACGGCCTCACAGAAAACCGACGTGAAGTAGGTAACGCTTGCGTTGTGTTTCGTCGTGTGAGTGTGGTTACCGGAGGCCCAATTACTACTCCTAATCCCTAAAAGGCCGGTAACGCACTTGTAATGCCTCTGGTGTTCCAGTTATCCATGGGCGACGCCGATTGTTTACCATCAGGTGATCCGTCAGCTAATTTACCGGCTTACGCCATAAAAAAATGTTCTCCAAAACTCAGGACGCTAATAGACCTTTTGTTTTTTTATTTCAAATACAACATTTTCTCTAAAACAGTTAGGTTGATTCGAAAATGAAACTCTTTGCACTTACCGCAACGCTCTACTTGTATCAATTTGCTACTGAATGAGTTTAAAGGGCATACTTTACTTTTCAAGTAACTGATAAACCTACTTATTTGATTGCCAAAAGGGACGGTAGGTGACTTTCTTAACAATGCGGTGAGCATGACTAAAGTTATGATGGTTCCAGTTTTTAATATATGGGAGGGCCATGCTTCGGCATGAATGGGCCGGCTCGACCGGAGTGATACCACGGCCTCACAGAAAACCGACGTGAAACAACGCTTGCGTTGTGTTTCGTCGTGTAAGTGAGGTTACCTGAAGCCAAACTACTCTCCCCCTCCTTCCTCAATCCCTGAATCCCCAACAATCCTCAAATTCTTAATGCCCAAAGCGCTGGTAACGTACTTGTAACGCTTCTGGTGTTCCAGGTATCCATAAGCAATGCCGATTGCTTACCATCAGGTGATCCATCTGCTCGTTTCCCGACTTATCCCATGAAAAAACAAAATATTTATTATTATTTTCTTTTCCAAAAAAATAATGGATACTATATGTTACTATAATACAGGACATATGGGCAAAGGGTTTTACAATACAACTACAACAGGTCTATATTCCTGCTTGTTTGAAGAATTATTCTGCCTTTTAATCACTAGTTAATTTAGTTTTTTAGCCCTCTCACTACTTAAGTTTAGTAACATGAAAAAACATAGTATTTTTATTATTTTCTTTTCCAAAAAGATAATAAGAAACCTCTGGACACTATATGTTACTATAATACAGGACATATGGGCAAAGGATTTGACAATACAACTACAAAGGGTCTATATTCCTGCTTGTTTGAAGAAGTATTCTGCCTTTTAATCACTAGTTAATTTAGTTTTTTAGCCCTCTCACTACTTAAGTTTAGTAACATTTAGAACCTTTTTGCAACGACTCCATTACGTCACAGCTCCGGTTCTCCAGTTCAGTGGTTTAGATCAGTCAGTCTGTTTGTAACTTTATACAGTGCCAACTATTTAACACTATCATTAACATTGTATCTAGTGTCAAACAAATTGAAACTTTGTGTTATGGTTTTTTAAGGTTCATTTTTGCTTATCAGTGTTATAAGTCTTAGATTTCATCATAGTTCCGTGATGACAAGTGATTGAGTATTTTAGATCATGGACAAGTGAAGTTACGTAATTCGCGTTTGTTTTATTTTGTTTTGAGAGTGTAGGGCCTTTCAGTGCGTTTGGTCTCCTTATTTACTGTTCTTGGACTTATAAAAAGAACGACAAACAAAATAATGGTTCCGTATTTAAAAAAATATTGAGATGTAACCTAAATTGAGTATAACATTTTTTAGAGCATAAGCCGGTAAACGAGTTGATCGGTGATCATGAACGGTGATCCCTCACTTGATGGTAAGCAATCGGCATCGTTCATGGCCACGCGGAACACCACAGACCTTACAAGTGCGTTACGGGCCTTTTGGGGTTTAGGAATTCGAGGTTTTTTGGAGATATAGTAGTTTTGGTAATTTGACCTCTGGTTGTTTCACGAGCTGGCGCAATCATGCCGAAGCATGCTTTTTTGTTTTTTTAAACGTTACCTCACACTAGGATTTTCTCCTGTGTCGTGGGTGCGTTTACAAACATACAAGTTCACATACACATGACACCTAAACCCGAAACAACAATTTGATCACACAAAGAGTTGCCTCGTGCGGGAATCGAACCCACGACACGTTGCGTGGCAGCCGGTTGCCCAGCCGCATCGACCGTGCCGTCAAGTTAACCAACTTCAAAAAAGAGGAGCTTGAAGTCGATTTTTTAACCGTGGTTTATAAATGTAGATATTATTTACCTATCACAACTAGAAAAAAAAATGTTTTGTCAATTTACAAAACAATTGAAAATCAGTAAACCCAATCTTATTCTATCACTCGGCCAATTACTGGGTAAGAGGTCTCGGGTTCGATTCCCGGGTCGAGAACAGTATACCTGGGTATTTAAAAAAAAATCTCAGTAGCAGCGCAGAGTCTGGAATTGTGCCCATAAATAGTGAAAAGTGGGTGTTATATTGTACAGTGGTAATAAGTGAGGTAATGTGTACGTCTGCCTACCCCTTCGGGTGTGAAAGACGTGATGTTGTATATGTATGTATTAATAAATAATTCAGTCGAGCAATTATTATGATGAAGAAATAAAGAGAAAAAGTTAATAATGCGATATAATAAATTATACTTATACGTATTTTTATTTTATTTCATAATAATTATACAAAAATGTTAATGAAACGTTTGCATCCTGCCATTTCATAACGGTTTAGTGAAGAATGTAGATCCGTTATTGTACCTAGTGTAATATTTTCACAATAAGCAAATATTTTTTGCAAGAAATTGTTGATAAAATAATTTTTATATTGATAGAATAATAAATAGAAAAAATTATAACATAAAGATGTTAAAATTACTAAAATTTTATTTTTTTATTGTGAAATTATTTATATTTCATAGGTATATTATCTAATATATGTATAAAATTCACGTGTCACAGTTTAGGGGGTAGTCCACCCCTAATTTTTTTAATGTTATTTATATGGCAAAACACCGTTTGCCGGGTCAGCTAGTATTCTTACATGTATAGGTATATCATATTCTTATATCAAAAAAGGGTTCTCAGTTTGACCTGTATGTATCTATGGGCGCGATTATCTCGCGACTGGATGTATCAATTTTGATGCCAGTTTTCAGAAAAGCGTTAGTCACACTTTGGAGAAGGTTTTAAAATACTAATTAATCGACTTCAATAAAATAGGGGAATAAGTCAAAACGTAATTTTAGAAAAAAATATAAGTTAATTCTTCAAGCACCATGTATTAGTCGCAGTCACAATAAACAATTGTTTCAAAATGATACAACAATGGCTACGTATTAAGCGACCGCGAGCAGCCAGCGGTTGGCGCTCGTGGTCGCGGTCAAGAGCTAATGAACTTTACAGTTTACTCGTAAATACTAACGTTAATTACTCCGTTTAGTGTATTTACTTTTATCATCTAAATCCTTAACTATATTTTTGGGAAA